ATAAACCGTTTCAGAGGGCGGAGATCGTATGTAACAACCACATCGATGAACAGGAAGCTGGATGACCACTGAAAACCAACAGTATAAAGCCAGAGACATCTCTCACCCTTCCCACCATCAAAAGAAGAAGAAGAAGAAGAATTGGATTTATACCCCGCCCTTCACTACCCAAAGGTGTCTCAGAGCGCTTACAAACTCCTTTCCCTTCCCCTCCCCACAACAGACACCCTGGGAGGTGGGTGGGGCTGAGAGAGCTCGGACAGAAACTGCTCTTTTTTCAAGGACAGCTCTTATCAGAACTGCGGCTTGCCCAAGGTCATCCAGCCAGGTGCAAGTGGAGGACGAAGAAGAAGAGGAGATTGGATGTATACCTCATGGCCCTTCACTACCCAAGGGAGTCTCAGAGCGGCTTACAAACTCCTTTCCCTTCCCCTCCCCACGACAGACACCCTGTGAGGCGGGTGGGGCGGAGAGAACTCTGACACAAACTGCTCTTTTTCAAGGACAGCTGTGCCAGAGCTTGTGACTGACCCAAGGTCACCCCAGCAGCTGCATGTGGAGGAGGAGTGGGGAATCAAACCCGGTTCTCCCAGATTAGCGTCCGCACACTTAACCACGACACCAAACTGCTGTTCATGGGACATGCCACACCTGCGTGGAAAGAGGGGAAACACGCCCGCACGGCCTGACCTGCTGGCGGAGGGCCAGGAGGTCCTTGTCTTACAGCAGGGTGGCTGGTTAAAGTGGGTTTTGGTGTCCGTTGAGTTCTGTCACCTGGGGCGGGGTCCCCAACACGGTGCCCGCCGACACCTTCTCTGGTGCCTGCCGAGTGTTGTTAAAAAGTGGGAAAGGCCAGGTGGGGGCTTCTGCCTCTGACTGACCACTGGGGATTGCTTTGGCAGCAGCTGCCAAAGATCTTCGCTGTGTGACTGGCGCCAAGCTACGGCGGCCATTTTCTGCCTGGCTTTGCCTCCTGCGGCAAGCATTTTTGGGAAGCCATTTTGCGGCTGCGCCCACCACGCGGTGTCAGAATTCCAAAGGCGCCTGCAGACTCTAAATGGTCAAGAAGAAGAAGAAGAAGAAGAAGAGATTGTATTTATACCCCACTGCCCTTCACCACCCAAAGGTGTCTCAGAGCGGCTGACAAACTCCTCTCCCTTCCCCTCCCCACAACAGACACCCTGGGAGGTAGAAGAAGAAGAAGAAGAAGAGATTGGATCTATACCCCGCCCTTCACTACCCGAAGGAGTCTCAGAGCGGCTGACAAACTCCTTTCCCTTCCCCTCCCCACAACAGACACCCTGTGAGGTAGAAGAAGAAGAAGAAGAAGAGATTGGGTTTATACCTCGCCCTTCACTACCCAAGGGAGTCTCAGAGCGGCTGACAAACTCCTTTCCCCTCCCCTACCCACAACAGACACCCTGTGAGGCAGGTGGGGCTGAGAGAGCTCTGACAGAAACTGCTCTTTTTCAAGAACAGCTCTTATCAGAACTACGGCTTGCCCAAGGTCACACCAGCAGCTGCATGTGGAGGCGTGGGGAATCGAACCCATTTCTCCCAGATTAGAGAAGAAGAAGAGATTGGTTTTATACCCCACCCTTCACTACCCAAAGGAGTCGCAGAGCGGTTTACAATCTCCTTTCCCTTCCCCTCCCCACAACAGACACCCTGGGAGGCAGGTGGGGCTGAGAGAGCTCTTTCAAGG